CCGAAAGCATCGCTTCTTCCTCCGACAACCAAATCTTGTAAGAACTACTTCGCACGGCGTATGAACAAGGCGCAAAACATTCTTTCTTTCTCGAGGCCAAAAACGAGTACTTTTTTTTCTCGGTATTGAAGTAGCGACCTAGTTACTCCTGAAGAAAAAAAGTGAGTAACGTGTTTTCGTTACTTTCTGCTGGGGTAACGTTCCCCTCCAGAAGTACTTCATTACTCCTGGAGAAGAACGTCTACAACGCAAGTACCCAGCCTAGTTCCCAGCCCAGCTCAAGCCTGTAATGGGCACGACTGGGAAACGCCACATAAACCATAAAAGTATGTGCACCAGGTGTGTCGGTAAAGCCACAGTTATCCCTGAATAAACCAGTTAAAAAGCGATGAATTATTAACGACGACAAACATTGTAAGCGACATACTGCATGCTTCATAAGAACGGCACGTTCCGAGTAACGAGAAAATAACGCGTTACTTTCAAGCTGAAGTAACGTGATCCTTTTTAAGCCTAGTAACGAGGAGCCTACTCAGTTATTTTTTGTGAGTAGTGAGTAACGGTGTTTAGATACTTTATTTCATGCCAGCATAGCAACCGCTGGCACGCATTAGCGAGGATAGGTGGCGCAAGCTACCGCCCGTTATAAAGGGTACAGCCGTTAGCATCCATTCAGGCTTGAAGGCTGAGCTACAGTTACCTCGGGCGATGGGTATGTACGCATACAAGCAGAAAAACAAATGGCGGTACCCAGAGGTTGCATGAGCGCCGCCATTTTGCTACTGGTGTTTGTACAGGGTGATTCAAGGAGAGGCCAGGCTCTTTAAATCGACCGCAAAATTCGGGTTCTTAATCTATCGCGCTACGAATTTGAGCAGCGTTGCTCACAGATTGTGTTTTCTTTTCTTTTTTTTTTTTCTTTTTGTGGAATTTGCAAAAAGCGAATTTACCTGAGGAAAAAGTAAAGAAAGAAAAAGGTTTAGCTCCTATGGAAACGCAGTGAAGCCACCGGTCTTCAAACAACACGGCGCCGTTTCGCAGGGGAGACAAGAGATGGCGCAAGCGGTCGCGACGCCAGCTGCCGCCAACGAACGAGCATACGACGCCGAGAGCCGGCGTCTTTAGCAGACAAGGAACTGCAGTTCCTTGTTGTTACCGCGCCTGTTTTTGTTTCTGCGACTGTCGCCGCCCGCGGAACGATCGCCGCTTTTGAGTCGAAAAATTCGTCTGCAAAAGACGCCGGCTCTCGGCGCCGTATGCTCGTTCGTTGGCGGCGTTCGTTGCGCCATCTCTTGTCTCCCGTGCGAAACGGCGCCGTGTTGTTTGAAGACCGGTGGCGTCGCTGCGTTTCCATAGGAGCTAAGCTTTTTCTTTCTTTACTTTTTCCTCAGGTAAGTTCGCTCTTCGCAAATTTTACACAAAAAAAAATGCACCGCCTGTGAGCAACGCTGCACAAAGTCGTAGCGCGATAGGTTGAGAAACCGAATTTTGCGGTCGATTTAAACAGCCTGGCTTCTCTTTGAATCACCCTGTAGATCGCCTTCTTCAAGCCTTGCTCGTACACGCCCGTGATTGGCAGATTGGAGCCCCCGCGGAGTGTTTCCTCGCCAAAGGGGACCAGGCCTCTTTCGCGTCTTGTTTTTAATGTACTTAAACATGTTTTTCATCGAGAAATGGAAGTCTTTCAGAAAATATTTAGTAAAAACATGCTTTAATACAGAGATGTTTTGCAAAATATTCTTTCCTTCTTCAAGTGTGTACATTAATACACAGGCGTATCGGAAAGACTCTTTCCAAAACGTCTGTGTATTACAGTAGGCTCGTTCGATTCACCTGCACGTCCTGCACCTGCACGTCCTGCACCGGTGCAGAAAAGTGCAGGGCGGTGTACTTCCGGTATGCGTATTTAGATACGACCGGAAGCACATCGTCCTACGCTTTTCTGCACCTGCACTTTTTTGAACAAGCCTGATCTATATTAGCATTCAAATTTCTTTAAGCGTCTTGCTTTACAAAACAGACCTCGATCGACGAGGTGAATAAGAGAAAAACTGCCTGTCTCTTTGGTATATTCCAAAGCTGCACGAAATAGGTAGCATTTACACGGTGAGCAACTGAGGGAAAAAGGGAGCTAACAGCTCTGATTGGAGTGATAAGTAAGTAGAGTCAAAAGGCCTTTGTCTCTGCTAGTGTTGGACAAGGTACTCGACGATACTAGGTAAGCTAAGTTACTAAATACCTGATTCATAAAGTATCGAGAGTACTACTCAAGCTACTTTTGCAGCAGAGTAACTCGAGTGGAGTGCAAATACTTAGAAATGTAGTTCAATTACTTTCGAACATACTTTTGCACTGTGCGATTTCTATCGACTTTTATCGCCAGAATGATTTATTCGCAATCAACATAAGTAAGCAAAACCGGACTTTTATCTTATGCTTCTCCAGTAGAACAAAGAGCAGTCTCGGTGCGTCTTACAATAATTTAAACGTATTTTCAATCAATATTTTGAGGACGCGAAAAGTCCCATCTTGTGCTGGTTTTATCATGCGCATCTCGAACGCATCGTTTTACTTAGCGCCATAGTCAGTAGATCGGAGTTAACGTTAAACAACTTTTGAATACGCAAATCAATAAGTTAATAAAACGATACTTGCCACGACTTCCTCGGGTATGTTATCTAAACGTTGAACGAGAGATTATTGGACTTCAAAAAGAAAGGAACAAGCGGACATAGAGAAGCACTGCTGTCGCTCTGGCGGTTGTCCTTTTCTTTAATATTTTTTCCCCGATACTAAGCTCTACAAGCGCGTTCAGAAGGGCGCATACCTTCGATAGGGCTGTTTGTTTGCATTTTGAGAGCCCATCCTGCTCGTAGCTTGTTTCCTGCCTCGTTGTAATCTTTGTCCTCTTGACTCAGGGTCGTGTTATCACCACTCCCAACCGACATCCCAAAAATGCCAGACTAGCGGGAAAAAAAAAAAAACTGGCATTGTTGCCGTAGCGGACTAAAACATAAACAAGCAAAAATGAAACAAAAAAACACCCAGGAAGCATGTGTTGTTTTCTTTTTCTGTTGTTCACTGCCTATTTCCTTTTTTCTTTTCTTTTTTTTCTTTTTTCCTTTCTTCTGTTGGCTTTTTTTTATTTCAACTTTTGTGTTCCGTCATTTCCGCTCCAAGGTAAAGTACAAAATACTCTCAATCTGATGGCAATAGAGTCACCTGGACACGGAAAAACAAGGACATGAAGAATACGAAAGGATTTCCTTCGTGTTCTTGTTTTTCCGTGTTCAGCTGACCCGATTGCCAACAGTATGTACCAACGAGCTGAACTAAAACCCGTTACTCTCAATCAAATGTATTTGCAAGATAGCAAATTACTACCCAAAGTAATTGAAATGCAGTAGCTTAATTGAGTAGAGTAATTGAGACAGCCACATGTCTGGTTCACGTAGATGTTTGAACGTAGATGATTCACGTAGATGGTTTACGGGGATGGTTCACGTAGATGGTTCACGTAGATGGTTGAGCGTAGATGATTCACGTAGATGGTTCAGGTAGATGGTTGAGCGTGTTGGTTTCTAATTTACGATAACGAAAGAAGGATATTGAAGACAAACAGACAAGACAGGCTTTCGACTTTCAACAAAACGTTACTGGCTCGACTTCGCCTCCTGAAGCTCGACGGGGGCGTCAGGGAGGTTGAGAGGGAGGGTGCTCGAATGCGTTCGAACGCGGAACATTGCGCGAGTAGCAGCCGACTCTCATGTTCGCCCCGGTTAGAGGGAGATGGTGATTAGATGATTAGAGACGTAGGCAGCTAGCCTTCGCGTCCACCTTTTAATCCTTCCAATCAAAGCTCGACGCTCTGACGCCCCCTCCTGTCCCTGAGTTTTTCGCCGTCGTTCTCGCTGTGCCGCTGTCCCTCTGGCACGTTAGGTGATACCGTGAACTGACATCATGACGTCATGCGGCCACGTGTCATGTTAGGTCACGTCTCCCTTCACCAAGGCTCACGTCTCCTCTCCGTCGAGCCTGTACGTCCCAAGAAACGCGAGAACGCTCAGAGCTGGCCCAATAAATGCTACGTAAGACGTACCGTGACACCACCAGACAAGCACAACAGGAAGAGATAGGTTTGTGGCCTATCTCTTCCTGCTCCTTGTTTCGTAAATGAGGAATTCGTATTGACCAGGGTCACTTCGGGGGCGTGGCTTCCTATCTTCATGGTTCCTGCTTAGTGAATTGTTCTTTCAGGGAGGATTTCTAAAAGAAAAAAGCCGAGAAACAAATAAAACGACATACACCGGCTTTTTAAAGGCAGAAATATTTGGTTTTCGTGGCGAAACGGCAATTCTTAGGTCAACAAATTAGATCTAGTCAATGCTTCGCCCTTAGCATCACATCCGTCCGTAACGTCAGATCTCTCTGCAGACTGCTGAAACTTGACTCATAAATCCGCTCCTCTGCTCTTTTGTCCTCTTGTCAGCGAATGCCGTACACCGATTGGCTCAAGAGCGACAATAGTATTGACCAGTACAGCTTTCAAACACTTTTTTTAGACACAGAACGTGTCTTATCAGACGAATATTCCATGATAAAACCGACACGAAGAATCGTCAGAAAGACCGTCGCGAAGGACTGTGACGACACGTTTCCATGCGAAGTCATCATGACGTCCATTGTGACGTCATGTCACACCGTCACGTCACGTGACAACGCGACGGTGGTGTAACGTCACAGTCATATGACCACATGATGTCACACACATACAGCCTGCGCTAAGCCGTCCCACTTATTTCACAACACATTCTATGTAGTCTCGAGCATTTCAACAATGAATGGCGCCCCTTTTACCAGGATTGAAGGAAGCGTGTCACGTGCCACGATGCGCCGTGCCTACAGCAACAGTTAGTCTATAATCGGTTGGTCTACAGCGTAATTGTTTTGTAGTTCCGCCTCTGCCGCTTGCTTGATCCCCGACGCCCTGGACTGCGCAGGTTCAGACAGCGACGCCCGAGCCGATGAGGGCAAGTGTCTGCGGCTCCAAGAGGGCGGTCGCCTGGAGCTGGACTGCGGGGCCCTGGCCACCGGTCCGATCCGGTTCCCGATGGCCTGGATGAAGGACACCCGCCGCTTCCTGCCTCCGTCCGGCGGCAACGTGCGCCTGGAGATGACGCGCCTGGTCATCGAGACGGCGCGTCGGGAAGACGCCGGCGTCTACATGTGCTCCAACATGATGGCCGCCGGCTACGGGCAGCCCATCGCTGGACGCGTGCTGCACGTCTACAGTGAGTGTCTCTTCCCCGGCCGCTCGGCCACTGCCGTTTCAGCAAGCCGCAGTCCCATATCACGCAAGAGACACGGAGTTTCTCCGCAGACACAATGACAGAACTATATCTGCGTACACGCCTCACGCACGTTCAAAAAGCAATGCTTGCTTCCTACTTGTGTGTGCTTGGATGGATGGATGGGTGTTAATGGCTATACCCTTTGTAACGGGTGGTAGCTTGCGCCACCTAGCCTAAGTCCAAGATGTCTGCAGAGGGTGTTTTTGTATGACCAATGCGACCGCCATACAGGGAAGCAACACGCCTCATTGTGTTCAATACCTGAGGTGGTGTGTTGGCATATGCCAGCTTCCAGAGGCTATAATCACCACGAAATTCGCCAACGCCTCGTCGGCCGCCATGACACTACAAACTCGACTCGAAGAGCTTCTCGAGGTAGCGCCGGAGTTGGTCGGAGTTGGTCGGAGTTGGTTGCTCAAAGGCCGATCATCAAGGAGAAAGGTGGAAACTCTTCTTCAGTCGCTACTTTCCATTCAATAAAAAGAGAGATGCCTCTTTTTTTCGGGAAGTAGCACAGAGAAAACCGCTCCTGTGGAGAGATATAAGGAGAGAAGAGTAAGAGTGTGAGAGGGAATGGGAGAGAAAGAAACTGAGAACCGGTTTCCTGCCCGGTAGAAGACGATTCTGTAGGTCGGCCTTTAAGACTTTCGAGGAAAGAGACGAGTATTTCCTTTAGTCGAGGAGCATTTGGAGACCAGGGGCCATAAGCTGGACACCCGGCAAGAATGTCGGCGAGATTTCTGAATGCCGCGATTGGCCAGACCCGCGCTTGACCTTGGCGCTGGCCAATCGCGACGTTCAAAAATATCTCCAATTTTCTCGTCGAGCGTCCAGCTTGAACCCCAGGTGTGTTTATGAAGCGCAAGACCAGCCGCGAAAGGAGATTCGAGTGAAAGCCCGTTTAAGAATTCGGCTATTAGCCTGCTGTCGTTCTGTCGTTCTACAGCGCTGATGACTACTGTCGTTCTACAGCGCTGATGAACGTCAATATACGCACGATGTGTGGTTCAGCAGTTGCTGAGCGAAGAGCAAGCGCAGGAGTTGCGGTGACGTCAGAACGACGTCGAGTCCTTATTGGCTCTTATCGAAGGATAGTTGATAGACCTTAAGGCAGCTTGCTTTGTCGTCTCCCCACTACCCTTTAGTCGGAGCCAATCAGAGCTCGGCTTTTTGACGTCACCAGAACCCCTGCAAAAGAAGCAGACGAACTTTCGCTCCGCATAGGTTGCTTTCAAAGCAAACATAGGCGACACGCTGTTACGACAGAATTGACACCATTTCCGATTGTTCTCTCAACACAACATTTACTTAAGTCGAACCTCTTTCGAGGGCACTAGATAAGGAGGGGGCAAGGCAATAAATACTGCATTTCGGCATTAAAAGGTTCAATGAGGAGCATTGCAATGCGCACCCAATTCGTTAGGTCAAAAGGGTCACAGTTTTCCCTGCAGTGCGGCTCTGTCTTTGCTGCCGTTTTCGTTGCTGCAAACGCAATCAACGGACTTTGCCTCGCTTTACTTCGGTGGCATTCGCGCCAACCGTCTACAACATGCAATCACGGATGCCACGAGAAACGACCGGATATCACAAAAGGACTCGTTCCGGCCGGTTCGGTGTGCTCCCGATGCATGGTGGAGGGAACGAGAGTATAGACGAAAAATGTGCGTAGTTTACATCAAAAACAGTAAATGTTAGTGGCCGCAATGGTAGCACAGTTGCACGATCCGTGCCAGAAAGCGGTCGGCTCTCACGTTGCGAGCAGCGAAGAGGAAATCGTTAAATTAGATATTCCGGCTTTCCCCGGGAAACAGGCTCTCGCATTCCCCGCTGGTAATCAGAAGTCACACGTGTCGCAGTTCAATGAACGCGGATGACAGGACTCGGGTGCAAGGCGACATATATTGTGACTGCTTCGAAGGTTCGTGAAACGTATAGGTATACCAACGACTAAACTTTCCGGTGTTCGGACGGCACTCGTGTTCTTCCCGATGGAACAAGAGGTTCATTACTCTGGAGCCGTGGTCCCACTGCTCGAATGCTTCGTACAAGACTCGTTTTGCTGCAGACACGATGATGGAATTATCCGAAAGCCTCAAGCATGTTCAAATTAAGCGGGTTTGCTTCGAACATGTGTATGCTGCGAAGTTGTCTGCAGGCACTTTTTGTACGACCTATGGGCAGTGTTAGGAAGTATTTTAATTACAATGTACTTCGAGTACTGCTACGACTAGGTTTAAAAACTTCTTTTTTACTTGAAGTATGTACATTCTTTGAGTGTGTATACTTGTGTTTTACTTAAAAGTATTTTTGGGGGGTACCTTCCGGGGAAAGTACACTTCCCGACATTCAATGTACATTTCCAGATTTGGTCTCGGTGAAATCAAGCTTTTTCAAGGACCACACGCCCGCGTCATTGGCTTTTTCCTGAACTATACGCAATTTCTGAGGTCGAACATAAGAGTTCACTAACCTCTAATAAAAAAAAATGTATTGTCACGTGGAAACACGTTCTCGTATTTCGAGACGTCATCAGGTCAGTTCTCTGAATAAAGTAACGGCGGCTGTAAGAGCGATACAAAAAAGGTGCCTTATAAGTTAATTTATAAAATAGTTTGTACGTGAGAGTGAAACAACTACTCTGTAATCACAGGATTTCATTCGCTGTCATTTTAAAGAATAACTGCAATGCACTCCCGATCACCCCTGGGCCATTCTATGCCAGAGGAGACGCGGCAACTTTGTCATGTCTGGGATTTACACGAAACTATTAATTTGAAATAAAAAAGAACTCCTAAACTCCAAGAAAAAAATTTTTTTTTTCTTTTTGTGAGAACACAATTTGTTATTCTTGCTTATATCAGGCTTTAAATTTCTGGAATTTGTATAAAACCTATGTAGTTGAGAAAAACATTGTAAAAAACGGTCGCGTACCATACAAATTTAAGTGGGCGCCTAATTACTTGATAATATGCCTCCATCTTACAATAAAATACAAACATTGAAAGATGCCATTTTGAGCCCAAATAGGAGCCTTAAAAAGAAGAGACTTTATTAGCTTCCTTAATTTTTTTTTTTAGTCATCTTGAACTTTGGGTGTTAGCTACAATACTTTTTTTTACTTTGTTCTCTCACAACTAATAATTGATTTGCATGTATAAATTCGCAAAACCTCGTTGTTTTGTGTTTCAATTAAATGACAAAATCTCCTGTTTACGCAGAAAATGCCAAATTGAGAGCCATAAAAAGCAATGGGGGCAGCGGCGCACGAAACATTCAAAATAGTCAAAAGTTTAATTCACCTCATCTGTTCAACATATCAAAAATTATAAAATTACGTTTTGTTGTTGCTAAGAATTTTTTTTTCTTCCTAAAAATAAATATATATATATATATATATATATATTTTTTTTTATGCCTTCAGGCGCCCGCCTCGTAGGGGAGCGTTCGCCAGCGAGGCGTCAACGGTGTGAGACGCCGCCGCAAGGTCTTCAACGCTTTCCTAAAAACACGTTGTATTCAGTTGAAGTGGACGTTATCCTGACTTCCATGCATCCGCGTCTTCTTTGCGTTTCGTCATGATGCTGACGTCGTCTTCATTTGACTACGCTTCTACCCAGGTAACTGCCGACAAACGCAGGCCTGCATCGCTGCTTCCCAAGCTTGGGAATGCATACTGCGCGTCGGCCTCGTCTTCGATATGCTAAACAGATGAGCTGGATTGAACTTTTGTCTATTTCGAAAGTTCCTGGCTCTCAATGTGGCTTTGTCTGCATGAACTGGAGATTTTGTAATGTAATTAAAATGCAACAGAACGAGGCTTTGAGGATTTAATACGAGCAATTCAATTTTTAGTTTTAAGAGAACAGAGGAAAAAAAGTATTGGTAGCTAGAATCCAAATTCAAGCCGACTAATAAAATAAAGAAATCTCATAAATGTTTCTTTTTCTTCTTCTTTTTGGAGTTCCTGTTTGGACCCAAAATGGCGTCTTTCAATGTTAGTATTTTAGGGTAAGCTAGGGAATATTATCAAGTAATTGGGCACCCACCTAAATTTGTGGGGTGCGCAACCATTTTTTCTACAGTTGGGTTTCTTAACAACGGGAGTTTTATGCAAATCCCAAAACTTTAACGCAATGATATCAGCAAAAATAAACTTGAGTTTTCCACAAAAAAAAAAATACTTTTTTAGGAGTTAGCAGGCTTCTTTATCAAATGATTTTTTTCGTACATATCCCAGACATGAAAAAATTGCCGCGTCTCCTTCGGAATAAAATGAACCCCGTCAAACAATACATACCGGTCAAAAAAAAAAAATCGCAATTGGTGATTTAAACAGAATTACGAAAGATTGCGTTAAAAAGTGCTTGTAGTTTACTTCGAAAGTACGTTGCGTTCATGATAATTTGCTTCAAGTACATTGCACCCAGTGGGTGAACTCTTGAAGTCCGCATCCTCTCATTTATTTTGTACTTTAGTTAAAGTACCTCTTAGATGCACTTTCCACATCACTGCCAATGTGAGAGGACCCATCATATATATATATTGTAGCGGAGACGCTGAGTGCGGGGTGAACAAAAAACATAAAAGAGAAGCAACCGGCACGCGACGAAGGGAACGCTCGTCGTGCTCGTGCGTGTGCGCGAGGCAGTTGGAAGCCAGCCACCGAAGATGTCGGACCTCTCTGTGCGGTGATTAAACCAGTTAAAAAGGAAAGCAGAAATTGTAACACTGGTGTCAGAAGTGGAGCTCCGTTCGGGCAGACGCCTTCCCCGGGCAATGGAACCTCCTACCAGTCCCGAAGGGGACCACACCGCAACTACCGGCGCCGAAAATCTCGCTTCTTCAGACCCGACAGCGTCCGAACCCATGGCCCTCTTCAAAAGCTGGCTCCAACAAGCCGAAGCGTCCTACGCTCGACGAGAGAGCCTGCTTCTCCAAAC